TTCTATGAAAGACATTCGATGGCAGTGGAAGCATGACGGCTGCCCGAGAGCTGTGATGGGGAACCCTAGCGGAAAACAAGATCAGGTCCGGGCTTGGCGTAAGTTTTGTACAATGGCGCTCTGTAAGGCGCCTCAAAACAGCTTGTGGCTTCTCGCGGATCAAAAGGAAGAGGAGGCCATTAAGAAGCAAAATGCTGCCCTGCGTTCTAACTTACCTCTGGCGATGGCCGGGGAAAATGTCTGAAAACTGGCCGTGGAATTTTTCGAAAAATGGGAGACGGGCAGATTGCTGAGCCACAATGGGGCGAAGTGGACCGTCAAAAAGAAGAAGGTCAAAAACGTAATGCCTGGGGTCGCCTACATCCACAACGACAAATTGGGCAGAACGGAGGTGGTGTACAACGTCCCCGTGGACCCGCCGAATAAAAAGGGCAAAAAGGAGAAAGAGGAGGGCGATTGGTTCGTGCAAGTGCCAGACCCGGATGCGCATTGTTGAAAAGCAATGGAATCACTCACGGACAATGAGAAGTGTCGCGTTCTGAAAAAGGTTCTTGCTTGCGAGGTCGTTTGGGTCCAAGCCGGCTCCCCGTCGTTGGGGAAGTTGGAAAAGCTCAGCGTGCAGGACATGGTTCAGCTGGTGAAGTGTGACCGCGTGCTGGTCCGGTTGTGGAATTACTACCAATTCAAGCACGAGAAGAGGCCGGACGCGGACTGGATCCAAAGGTACCCTTTCCTGAAATCGAGGTCTGCCGTGTTCAAGAAGTTTGAAGGTCAGGGATTGGATGACGAGTTATGGGATAACAGCAGGAAACACGTTTCCGACTCGGCGTTGTTCAAGGACTGCCCGCCATACAAGGGTTGCAACTAGGACAACTCGATTGAGGTGACAAAGAAGTTGGCGGGCCACAAGAAGTTGTCCGTCGACTGAAGAAACAAGGTTCTCTCCGTGTTGAATGGAAGCAGACTGAAGAGCCGGGAAGTAGCACTTGCCGAAGGCATCGTTCACATTAAATGGAAAGACGCGGGGAACGTGACATCCATCGCGCCGTTCGCCAACGACCCTTTAGAGGCGGACATCAGGGGCGCAGAGCTGAAGGAGGCAGTGACTGCCACAAAGAGCCACACGTTTGTCCTCGATCTGTGCGAGCCGGTTGACCTCAAACTGTGGAAGCCCCAAGCGTGGGAGACTTTGAATTCCTATCTTCAGACGTGGTGTCCCTCGCATTGGACTCTCGTTGTTTTCGTGCCGCGGCAGCACAACCTGTCGTTTCTCGCCAGCATGCATCATCTTTCTTTCGTCAAGCTGTTGGAAGGGAAGTGGGTGCGGAGAGTGCAGCAAAAAAAAAGCTTCCCCGTTGGGAACAATTTGTACACGGAGGAAGACCGCATGTACATCCTCTTCAAGGGTGACGATCTGCGCGTCAACACGTCCGTGGTCTACGAGGGAAACCTGCCCACGGGTGCCGCTGCTGCGGTGCGATTGCCTCAGAGGGTCACCCAAACGGATGTGTCCGAGATTCCTTTAATGCCTTGCGACTGGTCGCTGGTGGCGCCTGAACGACAGGGCAACGTCTACGGGGATATGGATCGCAATCCGACCCAATTCGTCGGTCTTCTTGATTTTCTTGGCAAGAAGGGAGAGGGTGTCGTGTTCCTTGGGAAACCGCACGCGCGAAGCGTCTGGGAGCTTCTGAAGGCCGGTCGGCTTGTTGTCGCAATGGAAGGGAACTCCGACCTCTTGCAATTCACAATGCAGGTGGTGAAAAGCGAGGTCAATTCGAGTGGGCACAATTATGAGTTCATGGTCGTGAGGCCAACACGGGATAAGGTGTGAAGCAAGAAGACGGATATGTGGTTCAAGTTGAGCGAGAGGAAGAGGAACAAGATATACGATTTCTTGTTCCTTCAAACGCGTCCGAGGAGGGACACTGACGCCGAGTACATCCGCCGGAAGGACCACATGTTGGCACCCCTCGACAACTACCACTTCGCCTCCCGCATGAACGCGAAGACGTTTATCGAAAGGCTGCGGTCGCTGTACTTCGTGGAGTCCGAGGAGCAGTTGAAGTTAGCCAGTTACGCTTCCCTGATCTCCACTGACGACGAGGAAGCCATAGGTGTGGAGTTTGTCGCCAACGCGAAGGAGGAGGAAAGCGACACGGAGAGCATCAACCTGTAGTACGACCCGCCTCCGGCGGACCACGGCCGAGGGTCCTCGTCGGCCGGTCCATCACCAAGCGCTGCAGCCCTCGTGTCACCATTGGCCAAACCGGCGTCGGGCACCACCCCGATGAAGTTGCTGGAGAGACTTAGAGCTCTGGCCGCCCCCCCACCCGCTTTGCGTCCCGGGTCCGTTGTCCCGCCTGATCATCCATCTTGGAAGGATGACAACATCCACTTCCTACTTGAACCGCAACGTCATTCACCTGAGCAGGACTGGGGCCATGACATGGTTTGGCATCCGGGAATCATCCAGCCAGCGATACGAAATGGCGAGTGGGTCATGGGCGTGGCAATCCCGGGCGCGGGATGGGTGTCATTCCCACGCGAGTCGAAGTCCAACTTCCTGCACCTCGCGAGGATTTCTGTCCTCCAGAAAGTGAAGGTCGAAAATGACACTTTAGCACCCAGCGACCTGCCCCTCATTTTCACTGCCGGTCGACTGTTTGACGAGCTTCAGGACAAGTGCTGGTTGGAATTGACGGAGGACTACTACGAGCTCGACACGAGTCCGTCGAAGGGCGTGGTGGACTGGAAAGCGCCCCCTCCCAGTGGGCCGGACGGTGGTTCCGGGGGGGGGTCACCTGGAAGCAGAGGGGATGGGGGTCGCGACGCAGGGGGTGGCAAAGGAATCCCGCCTATGGGGGAGAGAGGGTCTCACGGCCGCAACACAACACCGGGAGGCAGCGCCGGGGTAGCGGGTTTCGCCGTCGACCGGACTCCGTCAACAGGCACCCGGCCCGAGCACACGACACACTCCGCCGACCCCCAGACTTCGTCCGTGGGCTCAGCGAGGGACACGTTGGCAGCCTTGGTTGCTCTGGGCAGTCGCTCGGCCAGAAAGCCGAAGTCCGCCAGGATCCGAACTACGTTGGGTGAGGAGCCGCCAGAGCGGTCCGGAATGCGAAGCTGCTTTGGGTCGGGGGATCCAAGCACGAATCGAGAAATTCGCAGCATTGCGGCGCGGGACTGAGACGTCGGAACGGTGTCGCCTGAGCGGGAGCGACGGCCGCAAGGATTGCAGCGGGAGGCTGCAAGTGCAAGGTCCGGCGACACGGAGACCACGAAGTCCGCCGAGATCCAAACTTCTTCGGGCGGGGTTTGTCGGCCAGGGATTGTCGTGCCGTTGAGAGGGGCAGCGTGCACGGGGACGGAAGGGCGGTCCTCGCGATTCGACACGGGTACCGCGGAAGGGGACGAGTTTCGTGGGAGGGAAGTAGGGGAGGAAATGGAGGAACAGAAGGGAGCGCAAGAAGGGGAGGAAGAAGGGGAAAAAGAGGTGGAAGGGGAGGAAGCGGGAGAAACTGAGTTAATTGATTTGTTTGAAGGAAGGGAGGGTGCCTGGAGAAGACGAAGTGGAACACAGTGAGGACGATGCCGGATCTGGAGAGTCGTCTGACGAGTTCGGACAACTGTACGAAGAGCATCACGAGGATGATGTCGACGACGATGCCACGACAATAGAGATGGAGACACAAGTGGTCAACAACCTTTCCGCAGAGCCTGAAGGCCATTGACGTCTGCTGTCGACTTGCAGCACCGGTTCGACGAGGCTTCCGTCGATATCAGCCCGTCTGAAAAAAGTCGACGTATAAGCATCGACGAAGTTATCGACGGTATCCTCGGCGACCACAACATGTCTGCCCGTCTGTCCGCAACTGCCAACGTCCCATCTTCCGTGGCAGCTGCCCTCGCTTCGTCGCCGCCGAAGTCTCTGGTGCTGCAGGCCACCCTTGCCGCCGAAGTCTCTGGTGCTGCAGGCCACCCTTGCCGCCGAAGGGGAAGGCGAGTGCGATGGAGGACAACATGTGACGTCCCCAAAAAAATCGAGGTTCGGCGGTCAGGCTCTTGACGTGCTCGCTTTGCCTGCGCCAAATTCACCATCGAAGAAGCGGAGAGAGAAACAGACTGGTAAGCCGTGAAGAACGCCTGCGCATCCGGATGTCGCCAGATTACAGTCCGCACTATACAAACGACGACTTTCCACACTGTCTGTGCATACGGGAAGTTCCGGATGCCGGCATGCTACAGCCAGCAGCCCTTCCTACTCCAACTCGTCGGCCTATCTGTGACTCGGTCGGGTTGCTAGTCGAGGGCGGCGAAAACTTCGTCCAAAACCTTACACTCCATCCAAGGAAGGATTTGCCCCGGCTGAGGAAGTGGCCAAGGTGCTAAGAAAGTGACCAAGTACATGGACTGACAGTTTTCCCTTCTCGGGAATACTGTCGATTTTAGTCCGCCGGGATCTGAACTTCCTTTGTCGATGCGTGATGTGGTCAGTCTCAGTGGGGCTGGTGTGTTGAAAAGTCCGCCGCAGTCCAAACTTCGGGGATTGCTGGCCTCCGGCTTCTGTGAGTTGTGGTGGTTTTCCTTTGCGAAGTGCGGGGGTTGATAAGCTCGAATGTTGCAGTCGTTTTGTTTTCCAGTCGCACAACCGCACATGGGTGCACATGACCACGCGAGATCAGGGTCCTGTGGTTGGAGAGGTCCTACTTCACTGTAGGCCAAGGTGCTAAGAAAGTGGCCAAGCACATGGACTGACAGTTTTCCCTTCTCGGGAATAGTGCCGGATCTTAGTCCGCTGGGATCCGAACTTCCTTTGTCGATGCGTGATGTGGTCAGTCTCAGTGGGGCTGGTGTGTTCAAAAGTCCTCCGCAGTCCGAACTTCGCGGATTGCTGGCCTCCAGCTTCTGTGAGGTTTGGTGGTTTTCCTTTGCGAAGTAAGCGGGGTGATAAGCTCGGATGTTGCAGTCATTTTGTTTTCCAGTCGCACAACCGCACCTAGGTGCACATGACCACGCGAGATCAGGGTCCTTGGGTCGGAGAGGTCCTGCTTGACTGTTGCGTCTGTACGAATGTATGGTTCTCATTTTTCGTTTTGTCTTTCTTCTGTTGCACATGGTTGGTGTCGTCTCGAACACGGAGGTCCTCCAAATATCCAGAGCACATATTGCAGAAAGTCCCCGGGTTGAGTAAAAAACACAAGGATATGTTAAAGGCATCAGGGGTTGATGTCGAGATCGGGAAGAAGGAGTACACCGTTGCCATTGAGGAATGTCTTTCCCTTCTTGCCCCAGAGAAAGGGACATATCCACGATCTGTGAGTAGGGGTCAGGCCATGTATGAGAAGTACTTAGCAACGCGTCATGCACCGGGGGACTATGTCTAGAACTCCGTTTCTCACTACCCCACGTGTCCTTTGCTCGATGTTGTGCAGTGCGGGCAACAAGTGCAGCACGCGGGAAAAGTTTCGCTTTGACGATTACGCCTATGAGCTTGCGGGTTTTGGATGACATTGTACGAGGCTCGGTGCCGTCTAACACTATTCTCTCTATACTGGACGATGGTCAATTTCGGATTGTAGCAAAAGATCTCCTCACCCTCTTGCATGTCAACGACAGGGTGAATGATGAGGTGGTCAATTTCTATATGGCGTTTTTGGGGTCGACCGCATGTGGGTCACGTGACTTCTCTTCAGACCTTCAAGTCTTCAGCTTTAATTTGTTCTTCTTCAGTAAACTGTGACTTCAAGGACACGGTGGGGTGCAGAGGTGGGCTACAAACGTAGATTTGTTTCGTTACGATATTATCTTCGTTCCTGTCCACAAAGATGATGATCACTGGATCCTCGTTTTCGTCAACATGAGAGATGATGTTCTCGAAACTTTTGATTCTTTTCCTCGCATTGTAGCTGATTCTAGTTTTTACCTTAGTGTTTTCGGGTTGATTGTGCAGTATTTGGAACGTCTAACATCACGTAGGCGGTCGGGTAGGAATTGGAAGTTCATGGTGGGAAATGTTGTGGTGGATGGAGTTCCGAGACAAGTGGATGGAACAAGCTATGGTGTGTTCATGCTGATGTATGCGACGTTGTTGCAACATGGAGATCGACCGCCTTTTCGGTTCTCTTGTAAAAATATTCCGCTTCTTAGACGACAATTAGCATCATGTGTCTTAGAACATCGTTGTCTTTGATGGATTTGATTGACTTCGAAACTTTTTTTTAAGGTGTTTCATTCATTGATCGTTAAATTTCGTAAATTGAGACATTATTTAATTGCCCTTCTGCCAGAGGCATTGCTTTCTTTTATCGTTCCGAGTTCGCATTATCTACGGTAAGCTCAATGCATGTCCTGCGTCATGTATGGGCTTTGTAATCTATGTCACGTAATGTTTCATGTTCTGAATTCTGTTCAAGTTGAAGTATTGTGTTCCATGTTTCGAATTCTGTTCAACTGGAAGTGTAAACATGATTGTGAAATTGGTTGGTGGATGAATGAGAAATCTCATCTTATGTGAAATTGGTTAGTGGATGCCCAAACCTTCTTTGCATGACCATTTAAAATGCGGATATTCATCGTGATGGAGCACAATTTAATCTAATTCAATCTAATTACATTGCTAATTTTGTTTACAAAAGTTCAACAACTATGGATGTCAGCAAACTTTTGCGTTTGGGGCGACTGAACGGGCATGCCCATGTACAAACACTGCAGTCAAAAATGAATTCGTAAGAAAGAGGACAGTGTCACAATATAGTTACTGTATCTTTCATCACATTTATGAAATTGAAGTTTGACAAGTTAGAATCACGACACACTTTCGCACAGGGTTCCCTTTGGTGTGCCAATCGTTGTTCGTTTATGAAGTTTGACTAGTACGGATCCCAACACACTTCCCCACAGGATCACCAACATGTTTTTGAAGTTCAACAAGTAAGGATCCCAACACACTTCCACATTTGGGATTTCATTTATGAAGTTTCACAAGCATGGATCTCAGCACGCTTCTACATGTGGTTAACCCCTGGATGGGCATGCGTACGTTGCTTAGGCTGCAACCAAAAATTAATTCGTTAGAAAGAGGACACAGTATAATGTCCTATTTTAACGAATAACGTATTTTGGGTGGTGCGGGCAGACAGACTCCGTGTTGAGATGACTGTATGCCCTGCATTTAAAGCACCACGGACGAAATTTACGTGAAGTGTGGATCTGAAAGACTCGCCCTCCCATTCGATAGGGGACGATGTCATCAATGGAGAAAGGCTGGTCTTTGGGCAAGTCTAGAGCCAGCATCAGATAGTCGTCGCGCTTCGCCACGAAGGAGGGAAGTGGGTCGATGAAGTCGACAATGTTACACTGTTGACCAAAGTCGTAGACGAAGGCCGCCTGGATTTCCACCGGGATATGTCTCAATTCAACCCAGAAGTGGTCCCTCATCAATTGCTCCCGCTTCTCCTCCGGACTCACCTTTTTGGGTTGCCAGGGATATATTCTCACTTCCGAGCGTTCCCATTTGATCGACCTCCTTCCTTCCATCTTCTTTTTGTCTTGGGGGAAGAGGCTGAGGACGGTGAACACGGTTGAGGAGAGCGGTTGAATCAGGAAGAATTCCTGAACCGCCTCAGGGTTGCCTTTCATCTCCTCTAGCCTTTTGTGTATCCATCTGAGTTTGTCGTTCACAAATCTGTGTGCTATATCGCCGAGAAAGAGCTAATTGCTGGCATGCCGGCGATAGGTGATGTCCCTGTCATCGATTTTGTCAGGGGGGTATGTTTTCATCATTGTCTTTCTCCCCCCTTGATCCACCACTTGGTTTTGGGAAGGGAAGGAAGAGGGTCAAGAAGTATGCCCTCGCCGACGAAAGGTTACGGAGGGGAACTTTCAGCGTCTCGTCTTTGCCCTGTTGTAAGTCTGGGGCGGTGCGCTGGATATCAAGAAACTTTTCTTGAATGGTTGTTCTGACGCGTTGGGCCCATGTGGGCTTAGTGCCCTCGTCTTTGCCAGGGTGGTCGACACCGGTAATTAGCTTTCGCTGCCTTTTTTCCTGGGTCAGTTCCTCTTCCGTTAACATCTCTTCATCTGCTACCTCCTTGTCATCTTCCTCCTCTTCCTCATCTTCGCTTCCACTGTCGTCCTCCATTTTCTCTTCCATGTCCCCCCCTCCACCCCCCCCTGTCAGTGCCGTATTGCTTTTCTCGTGAGGAGCCCCTCCGCCCCCCCTTGTCAGTGTCGTATGGCTCTTCTCGTGAGTAGCCCCCCCCTGAATGAGGGAGGAATGGGTCAGCG